AACCCCTCAAGCCCTTAAACCCTAAAATCCCCCAAAGCCCCTAACCCTACACCCTGAAATCCCCAAACCCTTCAAGGATCCCTATAGATCTCTCTGAAAGGGATCCCTTAAAGGGGCCCCTTCTAGATTCCAAGGGCCCCTCTCCGCCTCCCTTTTGTCGGAAACCCATCTCCCCCCAAGCGCCCGGGCGGAGCGTCTCCGCCAGCTCCAGGGCTTTGCCCCATGATGAACCCAGGCCTCTCGCGAGAGGCTTAAAGGTTTCCTATAATAACTCCTTAAAGGGTTCCTTAAAGGGTTCCTATACGGGTTCCTTTAAGGGCTCCTACACGGGCTCCTTGAAGGGTTCCTTTTAAGGGTTCCTTTTAAGGGTTCCTTTTAAGGGTTCCTTTTAAGGGTTCCTTTTGAGGGTTCCCTTAACAGTTCCTTTTAAGGGTTCCTTTAAGGGTTCCTGCAAGGATTCCAATTGAGGTTTCCACAAGGGTTTCTTCTATGAGGACTTTTTTGGTAGTTTTAGGGTATAACCGTAAGAGTCTGAAGGGGTCCTGTTCTTGGATCTATAGGGGCTCCTTTCATGGGCCGAGATCAGAGATCTTTCGGGTGCTTCAGAAATTCCGGGTTTGAGGAGGCCAGGCCAACCGTCAGAGTCGTCAAGGGTTCCTTGAAGGGTTTAGTTTGTTTAGGGCTTAGGGTTTGGGGTCTAGGATTTGGGGTTTAGGGTTTTGGGTGCTTGGGGTTTCAAGTTTAGGAGGGCTAAGGTTTGCGTTTTATGCGATTTGGGGCCAAGGGTTTCTTCGAACATTTTAAGTTTCCAAGGCGTTCTTTACAGGTTTCTTGCGCCTTTAGGCATACCAGCTGGGCATTAGGGTTCGGGAGTTCTGGTTTAAGGTTTTGCGGTTTGATCGTTCTGGGTCTGGGGTTTAAGCTTTAGGAGTCGGGGCTTTGGAGTTCGGGTGCTGGGTTCAGGGTTGAGGCCCTAGGCTTTCAGAACTTTCTGCACAAGGTTGAAGGGTTTAGGGTTTGGGGTTTAGGGTTTAGGGTTTGGGGTTTTGGGTCGGGCTCTAAGGGGTTCGCCTTATGTCTTTGAATGGCCTTGGCGATAAGAACATCCTGTAGCCTGCCGGTGATGGTAGTGATGATGCACGCTTCTATCATCATTACGGGTGCCTCACTCTTCTGCCCATTTGTCCGAGAAATGGTCAGCAGTTGCGGTTCCCCGCCCTCAAAATCAGTCTTGTTCAGGGTTTAGGGGTTTAGGGTTTAGGGTTTGCTTCTATTGTCCTTGGTGGTAGTGCAGGCAGTCGCAGTGGTAATGACGTCAGACCCTGGAGCCAAAGTTGCTCACCCCCCCTCCCCTACAAAAGCCTGCTATGGACCGCAAGGTTACGAAATCCGACTCGGAACCTCATCGTCCCTTTGGGCGGAGCCTGCGGAATTTCCCTCTGAGCCTCGAGCCGAAGGCAGTCATGGCCGCCATTGCAGCATTCAGATTCTCCGGTCCTGCGAGCATTCCGAAAAAACGTGTGCATGCATGGAGGGAGGTTGGGAGGGAGCGATGAGGGAGGAGGGAGGGATATTGCAGCGCCGAGCTTTGCACCAAAGAAAGCACTGCCAAAGACGCCAAGTTGAGTGCACGGTTTCCGTGTGTGAAATGCATGGCAAACAATCGCACAAGAAGGCAACCAAGCAGGCAAGCAAACAAGCCAAACGTCCAAATCGAACACGTATCTCTATCAGAAATATCAAACTACCCATTTCCGTTGCAAACGGAAATCAGCCAACAAAAACACATCCCAATCCAAATCCGGGCCATACTGTTTCTGATGCTTTCTTCTATAGTATGGCGTGCAGTTTTGCTATGTACGACTTGCCAGTGCCGTTTGTCACTACATGGCGTTCTCTATCACTCCATGCTTCTGAAAGCATGAACAATCATGGTGTGTTAACCCTAAACCCTAAACCCTGCCTCCTGGTTCCCTCCATTGCAACCTGGTGTTCCATGCAGTTCATGCCACTAGCTCGCTACTTCTGGCCAATGCCTGCAAGATCGTATGGCAAACGGGGAGAGGTCCTGGAAATTTCGGATCTTTTGTTGAGTGTCCCTACGGTGAGGATCCTGCTTCTTAGGGTCAGGGTTTTATTGGGATCACTTTTGTGTGCATTTGCATTCTCGTGCTTCCTCGCTTACCGTGTCCACACTCGAACAGGTGCAAAGAGAGACATGCTCCCACACATACATGCTGTGCATAAGCATAGCAGCATACAGTATATGATTCATACTGTATGCTACGATGCTTATGCACAGAACGCATACCTCCTGCTCGGTATTAACATCTGTTCCCGTAACTGCGATTGCTTCATTTTGAATCCGTGGATACCCCACAAAGTATACGTACTGCCTTCTGGCAAGGAATAAACAGCTCATTGCAACCAACCGTTGTTCATGGCTTCATACGACGGGCGCTTTCACTTCCCAAGCTCTATCCGGGAGAGCTCTCAGACTGGGCTAGGAGCCGTAAACCCCAAGCCCTTGACTCTAACCCGAACCTTGCCGAACTCCAAAAACCACCCTCGACCCCAGAGATCGCAAAGTTCGGACCCCTAAAAATGAAGCATGCAGAAAAAGGTTGAACCCTAAACTCTCTCAAAGATCTCTGGGTTTGGACCAGTCCTCCTCCAGGAAAGTCATCAAAGAGTTCCAGTGCCATGTCCCAGCACGCGGATTTCACGCAGGCGTGCATGGCGCAGCTGTAACCTGCCAAGCCCTGAACTGCAGATCCTATCCTAAACCCTAAACCCTA